CATAATTGTCTTTTACAGTGTCTTGAAAAAGGAATAAAACCATTCCGAAAGCTCGACAAAAAGTCAAAAGAGTGTTTTTTTAACATCCCGGCCAATATTCTGACTGCAACCCTAATAAACTGTGTTGTTTATATATATATATATATATATATATATATATATATATATATATATATATATATATATATGTACGTTTGATCGACTTCAAAAAAGCCTTTGACTAAGTTACCCACGGCAAACTGATAGTGTCTTGAAACAAGTAGGAATTGATGAGCAAGACCTACGTATTATCAAAAATTTATATTGGCATCTATGTGCAAAGGAATTGGTCAGAATACATCGTAAGCAGTGGAAATACGACGTGCAGTGAGATAAGTATTTCATCGACTCTACTTTTTAATATCTACTTCGAATTTATTTTCAAAGAAGTATTAGATGAAGATGCAGGCATTTAAATCAACGGGATTAATAACATTCTCAGATACGTAGACGACACGATACTGATTGAATCCAATGAAAAAGAGTTGCAAATACTTATTGGCTAAAGTTTAATACTTCTAAGACAAAACTTATGGTTGTCAACAAAACAGAGGTACAACCAATAAACATCAGAGAGTATGGAATAGAGTGAGAAAGAATCCACAATCTCATTTATTTGAAGGCCAATGTTAACGATAACTGGTACCTAAGCAAATAAATAAGAATACGCATTGAAAAAGCCAGAGCCTTCTTCTATAAACTAAAGAAAATTCTCATTAATAAGAGATACAATGGCCATAGATGTCAAGACACGTTAATTTCAAAAAAAAATATATTAAAAATAAGAGATATTACATTAAATCTTAAAATCAAATTAATACTCTGCTACGTATTCTCCACATTGCTGTATGGCACGGGAAGCTGGACTCTTATAGCAACAATAATGAAAAAAATTGAAGTCTTTGAGATGTGGATTGACCGACGAATATTGCGGATAGGTTGGGTTAATCGAATAACGAATGAAATAGTTTTACATCGAATGAAAAAGAGCACAGAAATAACAAAAACAATAAAAATTCGAAAGTTACAATATTTCGGTCATGTAATGAGACATCCAGTGAGGTATAACCTTCTACACCTCATAATACAGGGTAAGATCTCCGAAAAGAGAGGCCCAGTCCGACGAAGACATCCTGGCTCCGAAATCTCGGAAATCTCTTTTCCCGTAAACAAAATTATTATTGTCAATATGATCGCCAACGTTCGATAATCGGACAGGGTACTAAAATAAGAGGAAGAAGCACTTCCAATCCCCAAATTCTCTACTAGTCCTACTTTTTACAAAAAGAGACCTTTTTCTTACAATCTCTGTCTATTAGCTGATGTATGTCTTAAAAGACCCACATCAATTGGGAAAAATACAACCTGGTGTTTAAATGAAGTACGGCTTCGTTTACTAGCTCTAGGAAATTTTAAGGAAATAATACGTATATTTCCACAGATTGGACACTCATTATCAATATGTATATTCCCCCGCTAAGTGGGAAAACATACTGAGAATACGCTAAAAGAAAAATCCATTCTTCGTTTGCAAGAAGAATCAAGAAGATTTTTTAAAAGCTTCTAAAATGAGAAACCATTTTGTACCACCCAAGTCTACACCTGCTAATTCATTATAAAAATGTTGTGCAAATGCCTTTCTCTGCTGAGAACTTATATTAAAATGAAACGAACACTTTATTCGAGGTCTTCAGAAAAATATACTACTATATACTATATAGTGCTATTGAACCTAGTAAACTTGGAGCATGTACTTTCATGTTGGAATGGCTTCTCAGCACACGAGTTTTACAGGTCATTATTTTGATAAGTCCATGTAATGTATGTCTTGTTTCTAATGTATTTGCGTCTAATAATAATCTTTAATAAATATGTTTTATTTTTACACTTTATTTGTATTTCAATAAGCGTAAAAAATGGTTACTATAGTGTTTTTATTATAATTATCATTTTACTGGTAAAATCCATTCTCCTGCTCTGACAAATGTAATTGCAGTACAGTATTTGATAGGTAAACTTTTAAGTTTTATTTCTGAACAATTGTGGAAATGACTTATCATTATCTTCATCCGATCCCATTAATTATTCTTATATGTAGATTTATAGAGAGAGGGCATAGCTTTATGTCTAAGGCTACAGTCGAGCCCGATCTCATTGCACCTGCAATACTCAAGCGAATCTTTACACCTTTTGCAAAGTTGATATTGTCTTTTGCTGAGATGTTCTCTTCCACTAAATCAAACCAACATAAATATTAATGGACCTGACAAACGGTATATATAATCAATAAATCATTTTAGATTTTAAACCTAGGAATAAGGCACAGTAGACCTCTGTGCTCGAGTGGAAGTGTGGTTAGTCGCACTCATATAACCTAACCTAACCTAACTTTTTTAGACCTTCGTTTTTTATTTCTGTAATCTCACTCTCTCTCATATAGTGCCATTTTCTTGACCAGAAGTTGACTATTGACCTTAATGTCATTTGTAAATTTCATCTGTATATTTAAGCTTAACCTTTTATTATTAGATAATTGTTTTTGTTTCCTGAAAAATAGCTTTGGCAGAGAAAATTAGCCAGACTTATTTTTGTTTGTTTTTTAAAGTCAACTAAATTCTAATTATTATTAATTGTCAGATTCATAGTCAAAATTTTCTTATTATCAGAATGTTAGCACTATGTATATTGTTTTTTTAGATACATAAATTTTGTTTTGTTTTATTTTTAATTTGGTTTTTTAATTTTTTTCTTTATTTTATTATGTATCTCATCTTCTACTATACAGAACAGATAAGTACTCTATTCTGTCAAGCTCATACGATTTAAATGCTTATCGGGCTTAAAATGCACAGTCAGCAGCACTAATATCATCATGATAATCCTTCAATTTTGGGAATTTTTTAAACTAATCTTTATTTTGGTGCATTTCTTTACCATTATAAAGACTCGTTGATCTGCTAGTCCTTATACCCTGGAACACAGGCTAGTATCAATTATTATTTTAAGTTCTAACCTTGTAAGGTTAGAATACAAGTAGTTCCACACAAGCTTTTAATTACTATGCCTTAAAATATTATTATTAACCTCATAATAGAACTGAGGGACTTTCAAGCTGCTTGTATATTGGAGTAGATTCATCGAGCAAAAAGACAAAAGAGGGAATCTAATCGTTTAGAAAACGAGACCAAAAAAGTGGCCTCTGATGGCGGACATATCCGGAAATACGAATGCGCTAATTTTAAATTTTCCGACACTTATTAAACAGTAGCTAATAAAATAGTTTTCAGAATGTGTCTTAGACGAGAAAGTTTTAATTAAATATCAACGATAACAGTCTAAAATGTGTAAAAATTGTTAAAAAACTTCAATATAAATAAGATTCATGGGGACAAACAATAACATAACCCAACTAAATTTGATTTTTCTAAACAAAGAAATACTCTCTTTCCTGTGTTTAATTTGGCCTCTTAAGATGACAATAATACTTTTACATTACTAACAATGACTAACAATATTTTTGCCCCACTACCTTTACATTCCCTCTTTTGTCTTTTTTGCTCGATGAGTAGATCACGATGCAATCATTCTCCATCTTTCGACCGATTAGTTCCATAGCACACCTTTGCATAATGGCAATTTTAGATTGGAATATATGTTTTCATATATGGTGACATATGTTTCCAAACTTAACTAAATTTTGTCGTCGTTCGTGACCTCATTAGGTTTGTAGATCTTTCAGACCATATTAACAGATTATGCCTATGTAATATTTACAACTTGTATTTACATATTTTAACATGTTTGTAAATGCAACGAAGAATTTCCGTATTATTTGAAAATATTAAAAGATTAAGATTTATTGGAAACCAATACTTAGAATTTATTAATTCCTTATAAAGTTCGTTTATATTATTACTTTGTAAATCATTTTCTAATATAATATATGTTAAATTGCCTATTTTGCCACAAGTACAATTTGAAGTATTTGATAAGCTGATTCCATGCATGTAAGATGGTGTAAGACCATGATTTACTCTCAGCAGATTAATGGTCTTTAAAAAATGTCGATTAGATTCTGTGTAAAATCTTCTTCTTGAGGGTATCCTAGGATTACAATGATAGAAGATTAAGCCAATTCCCAGTAATGTGAATGCCAATTATTTTTAAATTTTTGTCTACTAACAGTATTAATATCTGTCGCTTTAATTAAATTTTTGTTTACTTTTTCACCGCATACTTGCATATATGCTGATTTAGCCAGATTGTCAACAATTTCATTGCCTTTTATTCCCAAATGGCCTTGATCCATGTAATTGTTACATTTAATCCTAATTGTATAGTTTTAAAAAGTATTTTAAGAATTTTCAGTTCAATGTGGTTTGTGTGTTGACTGTTTAAATGCTGTTAAATCACTTGACCACGCTGTTAGTGTCAGTAAGTTGCTAGTCGGATTCAATCAATAGTACATCATACTGAAGATCAAAAATTACTGCCATAATTTTTGCTGTGTATATTGAGCTCATTGGGTAAGCTATACTGGTAATGGTAATTTTTATTTTCTGCACCGTGCGTTCATAATTTGTCCATTTTTCTTTAATAATCATATCAAACATATTGGGAATAAATATAAGTTTATGTAACATAATTTAAACTTTCTGAAAAATAGTGTTTTTGTCATTTCACCGCAGTAGGGCAGAATTTGGATTTTATAGAAAATTTCATTATACTTTACCGTACATAGATAATTGTTATTTCTTTAAAAAATATATTTTTTAGTTTAGTTTTATTTAAATAACTAGAAAAACAACAGCTATTATGTAGAAATAATAATAATGAGTGAAGAACAGTGCAAAAACTAATTATGAACTACAGATCAAACGAGAACAGGGTAAAATATCGAAAGATATCTTGTTTTAAACGCTAAATAAAAATTTTTTATGGCTTAATGTTTTGATACTTACGGCTATAATTGCTAGATCCACGTAATTCCAGAATCTTAAAAAGTAACTTCCTCGAAAATACATCATCTCCCGTATCTCCTCCACAATATAATAAAATATAAATATATAAGAAAACACTTTGGATATCAAAATGACTAAGTCCCATTTTGTTTGGAATTGTATTAGGCTAACAGTTCGTATATGATCTGATGGAATGACTCCTCCTGTTGAGGGAAACTCAAAAACAAGTTTTGCTAAAAGTATTAAAGCTAAATTAGTTGCAATATGAAGTATTTTTTTTTTAAATTTTAATACCATTAACTTAATTTTTTGAAGCGAAGCTTCTATATTGGCGTCGTATTACTTTTTTCTCTACAGTAAAATGCAGGGAAGCGAAAAAAAAAAGAAGCAAGGTAAATACGATAATCACAATGTACATAAGAAAGTTAAAGAACGCACAGGGGGACTAAGACGAAGGCAAAAAGGAAATATAACTGATTCTCGCGGAAACATCATCTTGGACAAACAGAGTAAAATAAGAACGTGGAAAGAATATCTAGAAAAACTATTTGAAGATCAAAGAGATAATACCTTTGAGCTAGAAAAAGAGGTAAATGAAGGAACAAGAATATTACAGCAGGAAGTTTATTCCGCAATAACACAGTTAAAGGATGGCAAGGCAGGCCCTTATAATATACAAGTAGCACTACTCAAACTAATGGACAACGAATTAATAGCAATAATTGCAAAGATATTCCACAACATATACAACTCTCGAGAAATACCAACAGAATGGCTGAAATCTGAGTTTATTGCACTTCCAAAAAAACCAGGAGCCAAAAAATGTGAAGATTACCGTAGTAGGAGCCTCATGAGTAATCTCCTAAAATTGTTCCTAAAGATAATTCATAAGAGAATCTATAAGCTGTGTGAAAGTCAAATTTCCTCCAACCAGTTCGGGTTCACAAATGTTGTTGGTACTGGAGAGGCTTTGTTCTCGGTACAAGTCTTATTCCAGAGATGCATAGACGTCAACTGCAACGTATTCGCATGTCTGGTTGATTACGAGAAAGCGTTTGATCGAGTACAACACGCCAAGATGATGCAAATACTAAAAGAAGCAGGAATTAACAACCAAGATCTGAAAATAATTTAAAAACTTTACTGGAATCAGACAGCAAATCTTAGAGTTGAAGGTGAACATACTGACTATGTGAAAATGATGCGTGGAGTGAGGCAAGGCTGTATTTTGTCTCCTCTAATCTTCAATCTGTACTCCAAAAGAATATTAATCGAAGTTTTGCACGAAACTAAAAAAGGTATTTTACTAAATGGTTACCGGCTAAACAACATCAGATATGCAGATGACACCATAGTATTTGCGAAGAACTTAGAAGACCTACAAGTTCTTATGAATAAAATCACATATTACAGTCAACAATATGGACTCAATATAAACGTTAAAAAGATAAAGCTTATGATAATTAGCAAGAAAAGAATAACAGAAGATCAACTCTACGTCAACCAATCATCTGTAGAAAGAGTGACGCACTACAACTACCTCGGCACCATAATAAATGAAGAATGAACCAACAACCAGGAGATTAAAGCACGCATCGGAGAAGCTAGATCCACCTTCAATCGGATGGGGGCCTTCTTCAAGAGTCACAACCTCTCTCTTGATACAAAAGTAAGAATGCTGTGATGCTACATCTTCTCTGTCCCTTTTTGTGGTATTGAATCAGATATGTGCAGAAAACTGGAAGTATTTGAGATGTGGCTATGTCGAAGAATACTTAAGATCCCGAGGACTGACGGATTCAGTCCTCAGAAGAATGAATAAGAACCGAGATGTAGTGACCACCATCAAATCTTGAAAGTTACAATTTTTCGGACATATTATGCGAAATGAATCCAGATATTCTCTCCTTCAAGCCATCCTGCAAGGAAAATATTTAGAAAACGAAGCCCAGAAAAAAGCCTGCTTCGTCAGTCACTCGGGCTGATACAAATTCTAACTCAGAAAGTCCAACGAATGTCTTCTGAATATTTCCCATTCCAATGGTTATTATATATATATATATATATATATATATATATATATATATATTATATATATATATATATATATATATATATATATATATATATAAACAGTCTTTTGTTGTAATTTCTTTCCCTTCTCAATATTTCTGTTTGATCATAATTAGGCGTATGGCCCATTGTAATATATTGTAATAACAAATCAAACAGAAGTTTCAACAAACAATTAAAATACATTGTACCACCCTTTACCATATATTCCAGGTTTAACAAATAGACTACTAAATACATTTAGAGAAGTACCTAATATCAAAATTGGAACCAGAAATATAAAAACAATATCGAAATTATATACTAAACTTAAAACACCTTTAAATAATAAAGAAAGCTCCAATGTAGTGTACTCTCTACCCTGTAATAATTGTAATAGAGTATATATTGGAGAAACGTCCAGAAATTTGTCCGAAGATTAACATCTCACAAGAGTGACATTAATCTGAATAAGTACAAGCCTGTGCATTAAGTGAACATTGTATTACAATGGGCTATACGCCCAACTATGATCAAACAGAAATATTGAGAAGGGAAAGAAATTACAACAAAAGACTGTTTCTAGAAATGTGTTTAATTAAAACTACACAAAATACCTTAAACAAAAGAGAAGACATTGAAAATCTTAGTGCTATATACAGCAATCTTCTTTTAAATAAAAGAATAACATTATAAAAGTTCTTAAAAGTTACGCATATTAAAGGGATTATTCTAAATTAAAATGAGATAAAATTTATTTTTATTTGTGTTTTTTTTTTTCTTAATTATTTAGTAACATAAACTCTGTTGCTTGTTTAAAAACTGCAAACGAAACATTTCTACATATTATATCAATCAAATTTAATAATGTCATTATGTTAATTAATTTTGCTAATTTTAAAACACAATCCTCACAACGGTAAGCCTATTGAAGATATAACAACTTCATTTTTCTAATGTAGTTTTTTATATTAATTTTTAGTATGTTTTGAAAAAGAGTACAATACACTCGAAAGCTTAACAAACCTAAAAGAGTTTTACTTAAAGGCCAATATTGACTACTAAACCCAATATATCTGTATATATATATATATATATATATATATATATATATATATAAATATATATATATATATATATAAATATATATATATATATATATATATATATATATATATAATATATATATATATATATATATAATATATATATATATATATATATATATATATATATACGAGTTTTGGTGCAGAAAAGAGAGGCAAGAATTATCAAATTCAAATTAGTGTCAATGGTTAAAACGAAGAGAAAGACAAAGTTTTATACGTAAAGCTACTCATTATTAAATCTATAAACCGATAATGTAACCTAAAGCAACCCTTTAAAATTCAACATAAATTCCTAAGATTTATTTCATTTAAGGATCACCATACAGCTGACCAAATCAATTACCCTAACAATGAAAGTTCTCTCAACATCACAACTCTTCAGGTCAGACGCATATACAAGGATCTAACTATGCTGTGCAATCTATTTGCAAATCTATTTGCAGTTGCAAATTAATCTCCATGTCCATGTCCCTTCTAGGTAAACTAGGCTTATCAAACGTTTCCAAATTACCCACCATCGAACAAATTATATGGAAAAATGTACAGGAGGATATGGTCTGGGCAACAGAAATGAAAGAGGTGACAGGCTTAACGAATTTTGCTAAAACAATAATTTTGTTAGCTAATACATTATTCACAATGCCAAAGAGAAGACTATATATACGTGGAAGTCACCAGCAGATCAAGAAGAGAGAACTGTAAGAAACCAAATAGACTATGTATTAGTTAGACAAAGATACAGGAACGCAATTATATCCGCAAAAACCTATCCAAGTGCCGACATGGGATGAGATCACAACCCAGTAGTGACCAAACTTGGGCTCAAAATGAAAATAATTATACGAAGAACAACAAATTCAAAAATCGACACAAGTAAGTTAAGGAACCCACTCATTACACATAAGGTAACGCCTGACAGATGAAATCAACAACGGATTAATGAATGTTAAAGAACAAACTCTGCAAAATACTGGGACGGATAAAAAATGGTTATTAATTGTTAATATAAGCTCCCGTACTAATGTAATATTCAAGATATAAGAAAAAGAAGAATTAAGTTTTTAAGGTTATGTCAATGTTCTCAAATATGTAATAACGGTTACACATGTTTAATTAATATTTTCAGTTTTCTCAGGCTAATAATTATTGTTTAATAAACTTTTACAATTCGACAGTATAGTTATTTTATTTATCAGGTTATGGTTGCCCAGACACGGTATTACGGAATTTGAAAACTAGCCTGTCGTTCACACCGGTGCGTGGTAAAATATATACGTCCATGTGGTAAAAGTTGTTTCACGTTTAAGTCGTGAGTTTCCCGTGTTTATTTTTCGTTACGTTCGAGTCGTACAATTATAAAATAAACATTTAGTGAAGTGCAAAAATGGCCTCAGCTGTGAAAATTGATTCTGGGAATATTACTAAATTTGATGGGTCAAATTTTCAACTATGGAAATTTAGTGTGACCATTTTGTTTAAAGCAGAGAAGCTGCTACCAATTGTGAATGGGACAGTTAGAGAACCAGAAGACCACACTAGCAGTGACTGGAAAGAATGGGATGACAAAAATTCAAAAGCACAGGTAATTTTGTTATCTACTATATGTCAAGATCAAATACAACATTTGATAAATTGCGAAAATGCTTCAGAAATGTGGTCAAGACTGATCACAATACACGAACAAAAGACAGAAATATCTAGAGAGTTGCTATGGCAAAAATTTTATGAATATAAAATGCATGAGAATGCAAAAGTTGCAGAGCATATATCAACAATAGAATTATTAGTTAGACAGTTAAAAGATGTTAAAGAAACTATTAGTAATAGTGCTGTTTGTTCCAAAGTAATTAATAGTTTGCCTCCTAGATTTAATGCCTTTCGTACAGCCTGGGACTCTGTAGCTAGTGATCAGCAAACTTTTGAAAATTTAGCAGCAAGATTGCTTAAAGAAGAAACTAGAATGAATAATGATGACTCTGAAATATCTCGTCTTGCTTTACAAGTAGAGGCTTTACAAAGTAAACTGGAAGCCACCAGTAAAAAGAAAACAAATATACAGGACTTAAAGAAGA